CATTGTAGTTTTTCAAAATGGCCGATCGCCATGGAAACCTCTGTGGACTTACCCGTCCTGTGTTCGAACAGACAGGAAATTCTTCGCTTATGAAGTCAGATCTGAGTAGATGTCATTTTACACCGATGAGGACACTTTTATATAAGAATTTATGATTTTAGCTAATAAAATACACGCAGTGTCCCTTTAAGAAGCCATTTTAAGGGAGCTATTTAAACTGAATCTGTTCAGAAACATCTGGTTAGTTCTCCAGTTGGAGGTGAGGATGTTGGATAGATATTTGCCTCCATCAGCTGGTTATTAACTCATTGACTGCCAGCCATTTTCAGAACAGAGAGTCCCATACTGCCAGAGTTTTTTTTTTAGCATTTTGACTGATTTTTCAAGAGCCATAGAATAGTTTGTGCTATGACTATGTAAACACCGAACACATCAAAAGAAAGAGTAGACTCTCTTCTTTCATCAGGAAAAAAGAATTTATTTCTACCTTATTCCGTTCTTCCTCGACGTGCGTCTCACCGGCGCCATGTTCTCTCATAGCGAACCGTTACCTTTTTCTTATTTGCCTACAGTCTATGCTCATCTCCCATCAAAAGTGGCACTGCCACCTAGAGGGTCAATTTGTTACTACATACTCTGTCTAGAAGCCTGATATTTACGGACAAGCTTTATCAGATCGTCCCCCAGCCACTCTCGTTGAAAATCATAAAAGACGTCTATAGACGTCTTTGGCAACCAATGAGTTAAAGCTGATTTCAGGATTAGTTAGGGAGGCAGACTAGTGCTTTATGTCCCTCTCAGCCATTATATTTTTCAAAATGGCCGATCGTCATTTTCCACTTTCTCTTTCCTCCCCAGATCCTGACCTATAACAGAGGCGTGACGGTGAGCAGCCCCCAGTTTCAGGGCCGCGTGGGCTTCCTGTCCAAGATGCCGTCCACGGACGTGTCTCTGTACGTGAACAACACGCGGGAGTCGGACTCGGGCCGCTACGTTTGCCAGGTCATCTACGCCGACAAGCCGGGGGTCACCGCCGAGCTCACGCTGGACGTCAAGGGTGAGGCACGCCAGCAGCCGCCGCCATTCTGTCGGCCATTTTGATTAGGTCATGTGACTTAGCAGCTTTCTGAGGAGGAAAGGAAAATTTACTGTCTATACGAAATCGGAAGACAAACCCTGATCCTAACCCTGACCCTTACCCTAACGCTTACCCTAACCCTGACCCTAACCCTAGCCCTAATCCTAACCCTGACCCTAAACCTGACCCTGGCCCTAATCCTAACCCTGACCCTTACCCTAACGCTTACCCTAACCCTGACCCT